CCAGGACATCAAGGAGCTCCATGTTGTGGACCTCAAGGAGTTCCACGCCCTAGACATCAAGGAGCTCCATGCCTTGGACATCAAAGAGCTCCACAACTTGCTGCTCCCCATTTGGATGCCCATGCAGGTCTAGATGCCCCCTTTAAGGAGCCCATCATGAGAGACCTCCACCTCCTCTTACTTCCCATGGTGAAGATCCTCATCTCCAAGAAGTTAAGGACGAAAACCAAAGCATGAAGCATGAAGCATGAGAGTTATTTCTATGATCATTCCAGAGGAGCCCCAATCACTGGGACGAGAAAATTAAGGAAGTGCAAAATCAACTAGGTGAAGTCTTCAATGCAATGAAGGCGCAGGAACTCGAGATAGTGGACTACCTCGTAAGGGGGACAGACACGCCTTTCAAACCTGACGTGGTGAACTATCCCCTCCCTCAAAAGTTTAAAATGTCATCTGTGGAGACCTTTGACGGAACGAATGATCCCGTTGATCACCTCGAAACCTACAAGACCCTAATGCAACTGCACAACGTCCCTGACGAAATTATATGTAGGGCATTCCTAACTACTTTGAAGGGATCAACACAATAATGGTTCGTCAAACTCACCCCAGCCTCCATAGGCTCCTTCGTCGAACTAAGTAGATCATTTGTGGCACAGTTCATTGGTGGACACCGCCAACAAAAGCCTGCCACCCATTTGCTCAACATAAAACAGGATCGAGACGAGAGTCTGAGGAGTTACCTCACTCGTTTTAATGAGGAGGTCTTCCAAATTGAGGAGCCCAATGACAAAGTCACCATGGCCATCTTTCTGAGAGGCTTCCGCTCATCCAAATTCTTTTTTTCATTAATGAAGCGACCACCAAAGAGCATGGCAGAACTATTGGCAAATTCTTAAAAATATATGAATGCTGAAGAAATCAACAGGTCTATGCAAGGTGAATCATCTCACAGATCACCAGAAGCTTGACCTGCCTCTGCATTGTTCTCAAACAGGCAGCTTATTTCTAACTTAGCGGCTCTCTCAGGGGTCGCCAAAAAACTTGGCCTCTACACTGTTCTCAAACAGGCCGCTTATCTCCTACTTAGCGGCTCTCTCACGAGTTGCCAAAAAAGCATGGCCTCTGCACTGTTCTCAAACAAGCAGCCTATCTCCAGCTTAGCGGCTCTCTCGCGGGTCGCCAAAAAAGCTTGGCCTCTGTACTGTTCTCAAACAGACAGCCTATACCTCCAGCTTAAAAACTCTCTCATGGATCTCCAAAAGTTAGGTTTTAAAAGGTGTAGCTCTCTCACGAGCAGTTCTCCAACTCTGTCTTTACTCTCGCACAAGTAGTCTACCTCTCTCTTTAGGTAATTATGTGAGATATTGTAATATTTGGAATAAACATTGTTTCTATCATCACAAGCAGGCTCTCCCAAGGCCGCCGCATGCTCGCCCAAAGCACCCAAGGCATCCCCCCAAAGTACCCAAATGAGACAGCCCAGCACCTAGAGGAGTATCTGATCATATGTGCTCTCCCTAATGAGGTAGCCTAGCACCTAGAGAGTTGCTTGACGCTCTCTGCTCACCCAAATGAGGCAGCACAGCACCTGGAGAGGTGTCTGATCCTATGTGATTACCCAAATGAGGTAGCCCAACACCTGGAGAGGTGTCTGATCCTTTGTGCTCACTCAAACGAGACAGCCAAACACCTGGAGAGGTGTCTAATCCTATGTGCTCGCCCAAACGAGGCAGCCCAGCACTTAGAGAGGTGTCTGATCCTATGTGCTCACTCAAATGATGTAGCCCAGCACTTGGAGAGGTGCCTGACACTCTCTGCATGCCCAAACGAGGCAACCCAACACTTGGAGAGGTGTCTGACGCTTTCTGCTCGCCCAAACGAGGCAACCCAGTACCTGGAGAGGTGTCCAGCACCCAAAGCTTCCTTGTTGCCTGCAGTGTTTAGCCCAATGCTTGAAGGGTGCTTGATTGCCTTTGCTCATCCAAATAAGGTCGCCCAATGCCTAGAGAGGTGTCTGACCTCCTTTGCTCGTCCAAACGAGGTAGCCCAGTGCCTGGAGAGGTGACTGACTGCCTTTGCTCACCCAAACGGGGGCAGCCCAATAGTTGGAGAGGTGTCTGGCTCTTCAAAATTGCGCAAAACAACACCTCTGGTGCCCAAATCAACGTCTATGGTGCCCAGATCAGCGCCTATAGTGGAGCCCAAATCTGCCCCTACGCCTAGGCTGTTGCCCAACTCTCCCCGCTGCTCCCTGGCCCGATTTTCTGCACTTCCAACTGAAAAAAGGCTGTTGCCCAGTGCGCTTGAGCTGCCCAAGACAGCATTCTCAACACCCAAGCAACTGCCCATCATGCTAAAGCTGTCCAGGACAGCATTATCAGCACCTAGGTAGTTGCCCATCGCACCAGAGCTATCCAGGACAGAATTATGAACGCCCAGGCAGCCCAGATTGGTGCCCAATTCACTACCCATCTCGCTTATACTATCCACCACTTTCACTGCACGCTTACTCAAGAAAGAAATCTTACCAAAACTGCCTAAACCTATATCTGGGGCGCCCAGACCAGCGCCTAAAATGGCACCTACAGACCTCCTCGTGGGCTGCTGGTGCGCGCCCATGGCAGCGGCGGCTAGCGAGGATCTCCCTTTTTCTCCTCCTTTAACCCTTGCAGCTCCAAGGGCTCCATGATCACTTGTTTTAGCTCCAATTTTGCCACTCCCCATGGCACCAATGGAGTTTTTTACTCCATCTCCTTCAAGCTCCACTACCCACTTAAAACCTCCACTCAAGAATCTCAACAAAATACTCTTGAAAGGTTTCAAGCTTTGCCTATTTTTTTCCAAGTCTCAATGGAATGGAAAGAACTTAGCTCACAAGAATGGGCTTTCAAGGTTTTCAAGGAATGGGTACTCAATCTCAAAGTAAATGAAATGGGTAGGATGAAGAAGAAGGTTATATTTATAGCTTAGGGTTTTTTAAGAGGGAAAAACCCAAATTGAAAATTATGGGCCCTCTTGAAAATCCTAACAAAAGTGGAAAAAATTTGAGGCATGCACCAAAGAAAAAATGCATTGTGGAGGGGAGGAGTCATCTAGGAGAGGAAGTCTCCATCACATATAACTTAAGATGTAAACTAATGCACCATTTTCCAAGTTTCCATGGACACGGGGCATTGGGGGGCAAATAATGGGTCAAACCCAAATGGCCCAATCTATATGGAAAGTCCAAATCCCAATTAAGGAGCCCAACCTCATAAAAGATCCACCAAGCCCAACATAGTCCAAGACTGGTCAAACTCTCTGCTTGGCTACGTCATCAATAGGGAGAGCATGGGGGTCTTACTTACACCGTAGAAGGAAACGGTTCATCCTTACCTTATCTGTGACCGCATCTCATGGAGAGCTCCCCAACCTTCTCGTCCATTGAGAAGAAGTCATGAGCTCCACCAGAGTAGTCGTTTGGTTGCTGTAAAGTAGCCCCTATTTGTTAGGGGACCACTATAAATTGCATGCGCCCGCCAACACTTGGGGGGCATCACACTTTACCTGAGCACGACTCTCTCCTCTCCCTCAAAGCTTGTTTTCTCTCTGCTCCCCATACCCTTGAGCTAATAAAGTAACCGGACACCAAAGCCATTCAAGAGTGGACGTAAGTCACGTTGACCGAACCACTATAAATTGCTTATGTCTCTCCGTCTCCTTACTTTACTCTTGCATTTATTATTCACACTTGACAGGTGGTGTGCAAAACTATTTTTGTGCATCATCACTATTGATGCCAAAATTTAGACAACCACCACATTAGTTTTTTGGGCTTTGATCACCTAAACAAGAAGTCAAATGCCAAAGGAAACTCTAAGGGTCGACTCTATAATGTCTAAGTCAATAAGTAACTCAAAGGTATGAATAATATACCTAAAACATCAATGGAGCTCCATTTATGGGCGTTACGACAATTTGAATTACATAGGGATGATGATTGAAGATCTAGTCAATCATAGAAAGATAAGAATTAGGTTTTTATTTTTATTCGCTAATTAATGTTATCTGTTCAATTAAGTTTAGCTTATCTATGATATGTATAATTCTATTCAAATTAGAACTCTTGACAGGGTTGGTTAGCTTTGGACTAAATTGACTTTTCACCTTTGGTCAATTTTTCTATCATCAAGTATGAGCGTATGAAATAAACATAATCAACACATTTGCTTATTCCATTATGTCATCTATTTACATAAAAATCAAACAAAATCTCAATTGTTTGAGAAAAAAAATAGTAATTAATATAAATATGTTAAATAACTCAATCTAACACTTATTTGTTTACAATTATATTGTTTATTAGAATATAATTATAAAAATCAAAAAGATAGTTCAAACAGTAATAAATACAATATCTTCTATATTTAATTGAGATAATTTGGTCGTTTAATAGATTTTCTTAATTTTGTAACTAATAAGAGGTCTAAATATAATATTTTATATGTTAAAAATATAAGTTATTAAGTGCTAAATTTTAAGAAGTTTGAGTGTGATTTTTTCAAATAAATATGGTTGAAGGATTCGTTGCTTCGAGAAGAGACTCAAGCCAAGGCACCGAAGTTCGGAGATAGTCATTTACTATACGTTGGTGGTGAAAAGTTGTTCACACAAAAGCGTGTGACGGTGTGGGGGGCAGTTCCGTAATTATACGTAATCAAACGCCTTATACCGTAAAGCAACTTGTATATAATCAAGATGACGACGATGATAGTGAACCAGCTGGGGCATAGCCTAAGTAGAATACAATCGGTGTGCTGTCATCTTGCTGTTATCTTCTCTCTCTCTATCTCTCTGCTTCCACACACTCACCAACAGACGTTGATATATCACAGAACCCCACTTCTCTTACCCTTTCTGTACGCGTCTCTGCCTGTTTATATTTTGGTTCCTTGAATCACTTGCTTTTCTAGTATTCAGAATCTTTGCACTTGCTGGAAAATACAAGATCTAATAACATGGAAGATCGCAAGGAGGTGATCCTCTCTCTCTTTCTCTCTCGTATGTGCTTGTTTGTTTTGGGCACTCTAAAGTATATTTCTTTGCTTGTCCCTGTGTTTAGTACTTCTATCTAGAGTAGATCAATATTATTTTCCTTCCAGTTACTTGGGTTTGTTTGGTTTATCCTAGGTTTGTGTATGAGAGAAACTAAATCAAGTTCTTTCAGAGCTCACACGTACATACCCATATCCGTATACATGTAATTTATTTATGTATATATTTATGCTTGATGAACACATAAAACAAGCATATTGGATTGTGGTATGGTATCGAACTATAAGGTTGGCTTTATCTGTGTAAATTATTACTATTTTTTATATGTTTTTGTGATTGATTTGCTTGAAAATAAAGGGTTAGTGAAAGAAGGTTGAATTGTTCTACTCTGAAATTTGATAAAATTGTCAAACAGGTTCAGTTCGTTTGTTGAATAGTAATCATCACAACTGTCAAGAGTTTGAATCAGTCAAAATTGCCCGCTTTTATCTTTCTGGGTTATCTTGGGTGTGCGAGTCAAGCCAGTGGATGTCATAATCAGCCCATCTCCTTTTCATTCTCTTGACCATTAATTATGGTAGAATTATTCCCCGCCCTTTTGATCTCTAACTGTGACGAGTTCCAAAATTTCAATTTTCTGATTTGACATTTGGCTATTGTAATTCAAATATACAAGAAAGAAGAAGAATAAAAAGACACCCTGACAAAAAACAACTGTATTAAAGTTAGGCCCACTTATATGTTTTAAGATGATACATACTGGAGTCGGAAGACTTCTCATCTCTTTTTTGCCCATCATTTTAGTACATAGTTTATGAGTACACTTTTTTTTGCATTTTAAGTGGGCATCTGCTCTTTTGTGTAGAGAAGGGGATATTTTAAATCATAGAACAGCATGGAAAAGTAGAAGATTGTTAATTTTAAATAATTGGGTCAGTAAACAATCAAAATTGAGGTTTTTTTCTTCCTGGAAAATGTTGCTAGATGCCGCATTTGATATATTTGTTTATTGAAAATGTAAGAAGTGTTGATTCTTTGTGGTAATAATTGTTTAAGCTACCCATATTGTGTAGAGGAATGCACCATGGCTATCTGTGCCACAATTTGGTGATTGGGACCAAAAGGGTGAAGTTCCAGACTACTCCCTGGATTTCTCAAAGATCAGAGAAATGAGGAAACAGAACAAGAGGGATGTGTCAAGAGCCAGTCTGGGAAATGAAGAAGAGCTCATCTCCTCAACCTCTGGCAATGGAAACACACGCCAACATGATGATCATCATAACCCTTTCCATCAGAACCACTCTCCAAATGTAAGATTCTTTGTCTGGCCTGCTTTTAATAGATTTATGTTATTTTGTGTTCCCCCTACTACTGAATAAAGCCATATGGGTAGTTGTTGCTAGTTATTTATGAGAATTTAATACTGTTTTGAATACACATAGAAGGGTAGTTGTTGTTGGTTATTTATAAGGATAGTGGACTACATGTGGCCAGCCTGTGGGGGCAGTTGCTTAGTTGTTAAACCATGGAGGTATGGCACTGTCACTAGTAGGTAGCAACAAGCAAGTACTTGGTACCATATAATAATGGACTTCTATGAAAATGTTTGACTTATAGGGAATGTCCTCTTTCTTAATGTTGGTGGTTGAAGAATAGTGGTGCTAGTTGAGTCATAATGGAGTTTTCGTGTGTTGAAGGTGGTAATGTTAATGTCAAAATTTTAAATAAAATTTGGGTGCCAATATGCATCATTCTGCAATGTAGTCTAAGTCCATTTTAACACGGTGTTGTATCCAGGCTGGTCCAAAGGCAAGGTAGTCTAAGTCCATGTTAACACGGTGTTGTATCAAGGCCAGTCCAAAGGCAAGGCAAGTGGGTCTGCCGCCAGGGCCTTCATTTAATAAGGGCCCCCAAGTAGGAAAAATTTAGGCCCCAAAAAATGTGAAATTAAATGCGTTGTGATCCAATATATTAAAAGATCCATTTCAATTGTTAAGTGATTTGTTAGTATTGTAGGCCAAAGGTTAGAAAATACAAAGACCCACAAGTATTTGCCTGCCAACATCTCTCTCTCTCTCTCAAAACAAAAATCATAGCATATTTAAAAAAACCATAGAAATGTATAATTGGCATCTCGGCATCTCGCCTTGCTCTCTATAAATGTGTACAAATAATATTACTTCGATTTTATTTGCTAACCTAATCAATCACAAATATTAGATTAACAATAAATCTCAATATTAATAAAAACATGCTGAACAATTCTCCAATCTTGAACTTTATAATGTAACTTATTTTTTATGTTATTCATTTTATCTTGAATACACCAAATAAAAAATATGAATTCGACTATAGAAAAAATAATAAAAAATAGATGATTAATTCAATCATAAAAAGAAGAGTGGTCCTTTTTCAATTTTATGTGTTATGTATAGAATATGATTTATAATATATGTAAACTAAATTTCATTAAATTTTACTTGATGGAGACTAATAATTTTAAATAAACTTAAAATTATACTTTATATTTATATTAAATTTTGAGAGCCCCAAGTAAAACTTTCGCCTAGGGCCCCAATATCTCTTGGGCCGGCCCTGTGTTGTATGAAGTGGTGCATCAAGTATTATACCCATTTTTCTCGGAATCCATTTTGTTAAACTTCATTTGCCAGTGGGTGAATCAGAAAATGGTGAACTGTAGACTGTTTGTGAGATTCCTATAGTTTCCATTTAGTCCTCAGCTATTACATAGTGCTAACAGAACTGAGCCCTCTGCTATCTCATGGCAAAGTCTTACTACAGTACCAAAAAGCTATTTGTTTTGTACAATATTTCCATTTTTCTCTCCGACGGGAACATGACACGATGTATAGTTTGTTATATTTATTATTTCACTCTACGTTATTATTTTCATAATTAATGGTCACAAATAAATCGAAGTAAGAACTATGGCTAGAAATATGCATATGCTTATTCGCCTAGCATATCAAAACACTTTTACATCTGAGTTTTTATACCTGTGAGGATTGTGGACAACATAAATGATAGAGATGCATGCTCAAAAAGAAAAGCCTTATTTTGTACTTCACAAACAACATAAATGATAGAGATGCATGCACATGCAAGGGAATGTTATGGGCCATATTTTATTGGCCTATGATGGTACTGATCTTGTCTTTTTATTGGTGGAGGTATTCCTTTTGTCTATGGGAGAAACCATTATCTTACAAGAGAAACCATCAAGGATATGATGTTTAATTTGATGTCTTGGCAACGAACAATTTATTTATTTGTAGAATTTGTTAAAAAATGCCATGGTGATTGGGTATCTCTTGCTTGGCAACAGTGGCACTCAAAATCGTACCATCAATTATCATAGAGTAGCCATTAATGTGCCATCTTGGTTGGACTTGGAATTGTTTTGGTTTATCTTGTACAATGCAAAGCCGTAATTTAGGATCAATAAGCAGTGAACAATGCTTTGCATTTACTTTCAGAAATTAGCTGCTAGTGAATGGGTATTCCAAAATGCCTCCTTTGGTTTTAATTGAGTTTGTTTCATGGGTTGCAATACTTTCATATATTTGATTTTCACGGTTATTAATTTTTTTTTCTTTACAGACAAGGAGGAGCTTTTTCAGCTACTTCAACTGCTGTGTGAAAGCCTAATATCCATGGAGCAGTTTCACATGTCGTCTAACTTTTTGTAATGATTATTTATCGCGGAATTAATCTTTCCATTTGTATTTCATGTCCTTTTCTGGCAGGAAGGTTGATGTATTTGTAGTTTCATGGTGTAATTTGATGATGATTGTTTATCCTTGCAACTTTGTGAACCTTTGATTATCGACTTCTGCAAATTGTGAATGTGGTAAAAACTAATATCGAAGGAAATATGGGGCAACAATGTTTGGAATAACAAAGAAAAATTATGAGGCTGTGTTTGGGAAATAGGAATTGAAGCCTGGGAACAGGATATTGAAAAGACCCAATTAGGATTTTTGTCCTAATGTTGTGCCAACTTTAATTTCTCTACTTCAGTTCTAATCATTATAATGTCGGAGGATGAATCTTTTACTCGGTGAAGTAGGCTATATAAATTTAGCCTTTGATATTGTTTGCGCAAAATTATTGTCTTTGGAGTTGAACCCATATTACCACTGTACCAGGCAATGATCCCTGGAACAATGGTCCCCAACTCCCTAGTTTTGGATCCATTCCTCTCCGGAACAGATTCTCTCAACTTTTTTTGTTGATACCGTGAAACAGTGAGAGGATCCATTTGTATATAATAGGTGTTATTTTAATACATAATAGATGATTTCACATTGAAGGAAAATGTACTAAAATATATCTAAATAGCCCAGTTTCTATTCGAAACAATTAGCACAGCTTGCTGCTTTCATTTTGCAACTAGGATTTTTGGCAAACCTGTTCTGTGCATGTCGTTTTCCTTCACTTAATGTCCTACTAGATGGATAGAAAACTCAACTCAAAAGTTCCTCTGCTGAAAATGTGCAAAGCTTTATGTGCTATTTTTCCTTTTCATTCTAAGATTAAAAATTCGTTTGAAAACATTGTTTTTAAGAATATCGAAAAGAATTAGTGATTGAATTCAAATATCAATGTTTTGAGGTTTTTTGTTATATTTCGACTTATGTTTTAAAATATGTGAAACTCAAGAAAATTAAAATATTAATTAAAGGGGTAAAACGAGTAGCCTAAAAAACACGGGTCAAAAACGTTAATTTTTATATAACTCAGATGACGAAATGGATCTAATCGTTGGATTGGTCTCGCAAAATTTAGTTACTCAATCAATTTTTATTTAATTTCGAGATAGTGAGATTTTTCGCGCATTATACAGCGATTGGGTGTCGCGTGACTAAAATTATCACGATCCAATTTTTATTTGCGAAACCTGATAAATAATTTAAAGTTAGTTGAATAAAAATATACTAAAATTTAACGCGGGTAAAATTTAATTGATTTGAAATAAAATTAGGCCCGTTAAAATGACATGTGTGACCCATTTTGGACCAAGTATATAAAGAAAGAAAAAATAAAAGAGACTTAGTCTCCACCACACACCAAAGGATCAGCAGGGAGAGAGGGAGAAAAGAGAGAGGAAAACAAAAGGAAAAGAAAAATCATTTTTCGAATCTTCTTCCTTAGATCTAGCAAAATTCGTGCGACCACTCGTCTCGAATCAAATAATTAAAGTTTCTCACAACGACGAGGGCTATGTGTGGGTACCAACCACGCTCCATTACAATATCTTTCGAAAATCAGAGTTTTGGCTCGGGATTAAATCAAGGCTTGGGAAGCTATATTTTAGAGTTTTGGAGGGATCCTACTATGTCTGCTCATGTTATAAGAGGTAGGCTTTTCTCTATTTAGATGTAATTTCATCCTAAATTATGACATAGAAATGGGTAGGTTTTGGGTGTGCGTATAACATGTTTAACTCTTGACTAGTGTAACTAGTGAGTTAAATATAACATTTATAATTAATTCCTTAATTTATAATACCCTATTATGATTAATTTGGTATAAGTTAACATTAGTGGTTTAAAACATGTTAGTTGTAAGTTAGCATGACTTTGATGTATTAATGACATATTAAGCTTAATTGATTTATTAGCTTGTGATTTGAGTATGAGATTGTATATATGATAAATGAATAGTTAGCATATGACTAGTATAGTTATATTGTGCTTATATTTAATGAATTAATAAACTTGTTGCTATGTTGGAAGTAACAAGCATGCTAGTTGTGTAAATTGACGTGCCCTTTAGGTGTTTGTTTAAATGCCTAAGTAAATACAAGTATGTTAGTTGAGTTGATTATCGCATATAACATGCTTGAAATGATGTTGAAAATGTCAATTATATTTCACTCATCATATAATTGACATTGTAAATTGTATCGAAGGCAATTATACATTGCATTGCATATGCATGAGTTGTACTACATTTGTGGGCATTGACATAAATGTGAGTGTGTGTGCATGGGTTTGAGTCAATCACCACTTAGGTGTGTTGATGGGTGGGTTTGGGAAGGTTGGACTTAGGTTCGATTGAGTCGCACTGGATTTTATATAAATAAATATGTCGGGATGTAGCAAGAAGGGTTAAAGTTTTCCTCGGGCGCAAGACCCGCAAACCTTTGGATATGCACACTCCGGTGGTGTAACGAACTCGCAAAATTGTGCTATGGCGAGGATAGAGCCACATGTGAAATGTCCTTAAAATTTTTCTGAGGTGTGGTGTCTCTTTAGTGAAATACCATAAATTATCGCCCCACAAAGACACGAAAAATGAATTAAATAGTCATTGGGTGTACATAACATCAATGGCAGGGGCTTGAAATGTTTGGTTTCATACACATGGCTTGCATGTGTGTGGGAGCCTGGGATGGGGCTCGGTATTGGTTTTGCATGCGTGAGTTTCATCTCATAGCATGACATGATATATGACGTTTGTTTATGATAGATATATTTGAATGATTGCATGATATGATGTGGCATGTAACATTTTATATGCATTTTGGGTTAGGAAGTATTTTCTATAGGAGTTGTGCTATTGAGCGTTGACTCACCCTTTATGAGAATATTTTTTAAGTATCACACGTGTTTCCACCGATTGCCCCCCTACGAGCCCGCTTTGAGGATAGAGCCAAGTTTGTGGTTCTTATTTTTGGATGTTACAACTTTTGTTTCCATTACATTGGCCTTATGAAATTTCTTAAACAAAACCTGTATTTTGAATTAAGGAATGTATATGAGACTCTTTTGGACATTTATTCTTTTATGAATGAATGTATGCATAGATGATAATTATGGGTAGTATTCAATGTTATGGGATTGAATTTGATGAATGTACCAAGTGTGGTCAATATTGTATGAATGCATAGGTTGTGTATTGGATAGAGCTCCCTGTACAAAAAGATACTTTGCCTAGATTTTGTTAAGTTATGCACTCCGGTGAATTGGGTATCATTATGTGTTATCGAGTTAAGCAGTATCACGGGTTATTTTGCGGGTTGATGGGTATTCAATGAGTTAGTCGGGACCCCCAGAAAATGGGGTGTCTTAGTTTGATATTTGAGCATGGGTTCTCGATTTACCTAAGGCTTGCGGGGCATGGGTCTAGGCCATTGCATCCATTGTGTATTGCATGTTATTTGTATTAAATGTTACGTGCTATGTGTATGAATATATGTGTGTTTGAACATGAAGAGTATGGAAAAATGTAGGTAGAATTATAGGCTTAAGGTTGGAAGAGATAGATAGACAAAGAAAGTAGTAACATGCCTATGTAATAATAGTAACATGCTCTCTACAAAAAAGCTTGACATGGTACATTCCACCTATTGAGGGCCACACTAGTAACACGATACATTTTCAAATATTGGGGGCCAAACAAAACAGATTTCAGCCCCAAATTCTCTATATCATAAGAATTATGAAAAAAAGAGAGAAGTAAGGGTGTGTCATGACATTAAATTGAAACCAACTCACATGTTCTTTTTATGGCATCACGACATTGTTATGACATATTCTATGATGTTTCGTTGTTGTTAATGGTTCATGACACTAAGTTAAGTCTATGGCTATCTTATGTGGGAGTAGATGACAACTAGAGGATATGGACATGGGTATCTAGATTGTGGGTAAGGGTATTATCTGATTCGAATGTTTATCATTTATTCATCTTTGCATCTTGTGAGAGAGATTTGAGCTTTGAGGTTGAGACCTTAGCGGAGCTTTTGCATGTGAATTCTCTTCTAAGAGCTAGGGTTTGTATTGACAAGATATGTCGGATTCTAAATTAGAGATTGGTGGGATCCAGGTCATGGTGGACATTTAGGTCATGAATATCTTAGAGTTCGATGTCATCCTTGAGATGGATTGGTTGGCAGCACTTCGAGTCGTCATTGACTGTGATCAGAAGAGGGTCACTACTTATACACTAGAAGGTGTCTATTTCAAGTTTTAGGGTGAGAAACACAATGATTTACCCTAAGCCGTGTATTACTTCTGTTGGCATAGGAAGTTGATAAGTTGGCTTGCATGTCTTACCCTTGAGGATGAGGTGAGATAGGAGCTAGCCCTGCCTCGAGGTGTATGACTATGCGGATGTCTTCTCGGATGAGTTACTGGGGTTGCCTCCATATTAGGATGTTGACTTCTCCATTGAGTTGCAACCCAGTGTATCCCCTATCTTTATAACACTGCATAGGATGACACTAGTAGAGTTGTAAGAACTCAAAGTCCAATTGCAGGAGTTATTGGACAAGGGTTTTATTAGGCCGAGTACCTCACCTGGAGGTACTTTAGTGCTATTTGATAAGAAGAAAGATGAGACGCTTAGACTTTACATTGACCACCGGTATTTGAATTGGGTAATGATCAAGAACAAGTACCCACCATCGAGGATTAATGATCTGTTTTATCGACTAAAAAGGGCACGAGTCTACTCCAAGATAGAATTGCACACGGGTTACCATAGGTTGAAGATTAGGGAGGCAGATATTCCTAAGATAACATTTAGGAATTGATATGACCATTTCGAGTTCACGATTATGCCATTCAGGTTGACGAATGCCCTAGCGGCATTCATGGATCTCATGCATAGGGTGTTCAAACCCTATCTTGATCTATTTG